GAAGAATTGTAACATCCGGATTTCCAGGTACCATATTTAAATTAGTTATTTTGAGTTATGAGGAGGGACTCGACCGATTTGACGCCTGACTCGTCGAGTAGGGATCGCGATTGCTAACTGGATTAATGAACGGACTGCGAGTCGATGGGTGGACTCGACGAGTCCGTGCTGTGGGTGGAAATCCTAAATCCTCGGGCCTATGCCCTATTTAAGGGACCTTATGGCTCTTATTTGCGGCTACCAATCCAGAGAGAGAAACCCTAGTGAGCTTGAGCGTGTGGTGTGAGGAGAAGGGCTATTTAATCCTTGTTGGTGTGGTTTTGCAAAGAAGAAGGGGATTCCAGCAAAGAAGGTCAAGGGGTTTTCTCTATGGTTTTTCAAGCAGGAAACTCCATCTTTGAGGTATAAATCGAACCCTTCTGTTTTGGTGAGACCTTGAATCTAGGGTTTTCTCTATTCTTTATTGCTTGGATTGATGCTTATGAGGTCCCTTGAGTGTTAAAGTTGGATCTGGACCTTGAGAGGTCCAAGAGCCCAACTCCCTGCTTTATGCTATTCCATTAGAGATATGAGCCTAGTTGCCATTTTAGAGGCTATTTCACAAAGGAAGCATATTGAACGTTGCATGAGTGTAAAGGTCGGACCTTACGTGATTATTGAGTATGGTAAGGTCAGATCTATAGGTTAGAGAAACAGATCTGACTCAGTAGGTCATTTGAGTGTTGTCATGGAAGGAACTCGCCGAGTCCATAAGGGACTCGACGAGTCGAGTCGGGTTGCCCCGCGCGATATATGACCAGTGGTAACCCGTCGAGTGAAAGGTTAACTCGACGAGTCGAGTGAAGATCTATGAGGATTCGGAAGACGCCTGGACTCGCCGAATGCACTCGACGAGTATGGTCAAAGTTTGACCGTTGACTTGAGTTGACTTCAGTTGACCTTAGGGTTTTGGTCAAGCTGGTTCTAGAGAGAGATCTGGGAGGGGTAGAATGGTCTTCTACCACTCCTTAGAAATGAGGACAAGAGAAAATAGTTGATTAGAGATGCTTATTATGTTTTGATAGGAGGCAGGCGGCTAGTCGGGTTATCGAGCAGAGAGGTTATCCGACATCGTACGAGGTGATTCTTCTCACTATACTTTACCTAGAGTGGTAATATGTGTGACCGGAAGGTCTTATGTGCTATGAGGAGTATGTAATGTATGTTGTTATTTAATATGTATGTGCTATGTTACGAGTAGTATGTTATGGACCGGAAGGTCATTATGATATGGACCGGAAGGTCATTATGATATGGACCGGAAGGTCGCTATGGGTAGGACCGGAAGGTCTACCAGGATTGTGGGACGGAAGTCCCCTGAGACACATTGACCGAAAGGTCTTGTAGAGCTATAGCCTTGAGTAGCGTATGTGCGTGTGTGGTATTTTAGGGAACTCACTAAGCATTTATGCTTACAGTGTTTGTGTGATGTGTTTCAGGTACCAGTGAGGATCGCGGGAAGGCGCCGGCATGATCTGTACACACTGATAGGATTTATGTATTAGAGATCTTGGGATTTGTTTTATTATGATGACATGTGATACAATGGATTCTTATGATATCTTATGAATGAAATTATGTTTTAAAAATGAAAAATTGTTTTGAAAATTTACGTTGTTACATTTTGTCTGAAAATTTAAATAAAATATGCTAGAGGTGTGAATATAAAGAAATTCAAAAAATTGAATAAGAAAATGAGAAAGTATAGTTACTTTTTATATACCTGAGCATGAGGTTGAAAAAATAAATACAATTTTATCGATGTAATACAAAGCTTTTATATAAGTGGTTGAATGAAAGAGATTGTTTGTTATATCTAAAGCGCTTTGTGTTTGATGTAATTGTCAACTAAACACCCAAGTCCAAATTACAATAAGCCTAAATCTAATTCTTGGGCATGTAATCCCAAAACCAAATGGTATTTGTTCAAAAATATAAACTAAACACCCAAATAAAAATCTTTAAAACAATTGATTTTCTTCCTCAAAAGTCAAAACACTACAATAGTATATAATTAACATACAGAAAACATAATAACTTTCAAGGGACCTATCAATAGCTAAATCACCCTGAAATTTATCTTAAATATGGGCCCAACATATAATCAATTTGTATTACCTGCAACAGATCAATGAACGCCATATTTATCAATACATGAAGATGGGGTTAAAATTTGTTAAGAAAACCATATCCAAATACCACCTACCGGCTTACCTATGACTAACAATCAGTTCCTCACTCGAGGAATCAAGATCCAAGATAAGTTCACTAAGAGCATGTTTTACCAGGTGGATTAACCGATCTAAATGAAAGCATTGAAAGTTTAAACATCCGACCTTACCTGTTTGCTTTATAAACACAAACGCGACTAACAAATTAGTAATTAAAAGGAACTCCAATCATGAACAAAATCATTAATATACTCAGATTTTTAAAACTGTAAAACTTACATGTTGCATATTTAAAACTCATAAAACAAAGTAGACTAGACAACATATCAACTAAATAATGAGAAATATTTGATATCAAACAAAACTTCAATTAAGAGGCTGACAAGTAATAGGTTTGAGCTCAAGAACCGACTGAAGCAGGAAAAGTATTGGGTAAGTAATGTGAAGTATTCATTTTGAAACAAAATTTTAGTCAAGACTATGCCATAAATGATTGTAATTTGACTAAAGACATGACTTATAGTATTTTGGTTACTGATATAGGCTTTTTCCCTATGTATCTTCGTGCATATATACATACCACACGATTATTACTCAAAACCAGTCTAAAATTCTGCTTAAATTCTAAACCCTACAAATTCAAGAGAGGAAATTCTTGAAAATGCAACCTAAACATTGAACAGGCTTAACTACAATCAAATCCAATATAAAAAACCGACAAAATCAACAACCAATTTAAACCATAAATCGTACACAAATGATGGTGGTATTATCGGAGACAATGGAAATAGACGAGAAGGGTAGGAGGTGATCTCGATGGAGTTGACATATGAGAGGAGAGGGGAAAAGGGTGGGTTGTTGGGTTAAATTTTAAGACTATAAGATGTACCCATAACACCATAACATAAAATGTTTCGCCATATCATTTTGTGGACATTTACTCATGGAAATATCCATCGCCCAAACTACTTTTAAAAATTTAATATAAAATTGAGACAGAGAGAGAATTAAGCCTCTTATCACGTCACGATTTTTCACTTCACCTCAATATAACACACCATTACACATAAGGTCGTGTTCACTAATGTTATGAGTTGACATGTTACAGATGTTAGCATAAGGCTGGAGGAAGTCGTGACATGTTTGTCACCATGTCAACTTAGTTTTTTAGCAGCTAAGTCACTCTCACATCAATTTTGTCACACTACAAGCTCAACATGTCATAGTGATGAGATTGGTTATAATAATATTTTTTTTACTCTACCGATCAAGAATTACACATTCTCTCCCTATCTCTCTCTCTAATGTATTGCCATGTACATTCTCTCTTCTTGGCATGTCATCATAGTAGAGTGGTGTTTGTCGAACATGTTATGGTAGTTGTCGAGCCTAGTCTTCCAACCCTAACTCAGTGGGTGTTATGACAATACCACTTGGGCTAATAAAAAGATTTAAAAAAAGAGCCAAGGTAAAAATGTTACATATATTTGGAGTTTTGAACGTAGTGGTGTTTTTTTTTAAAAAAAAAAACCTATTTACCATATGGATATACTTTTGAAAGTATTTACCAATAATGGTGATTTTGCCATTTAGTAAAAAGAAAAAACTTATCGTGCCCTAAATCAACTTTTACCGAACAACGCAAGCAGACCCCAATGCAAGGGAAGAAAGCCACCGTCTCACCAGGCTGCACCACCATTATCGGCTACAACTCCGACCGTACACTCCACCTCCGGCTACAAAAGACGACAGCGACTCTAGCTCTGACCACATCCTCCGACGATTTGATCTCATGTACGATTTGTTTACTCCATCTCACAGCTTCGATGTCTATACATTCAACTTCGATTATGCTTTGTTTAGCTTCGTTTTCTCCATCTCACAACTTGGATTTTATTAAGTTTTAATTTTGAAATTTCTTGTGTATTTGTTAGGTAATGTCGAATTTTTTATTGAACAAGCTTAGGTTTAGATTTTTGAATTGAACATACCAAGTTGCTGCTTAAGTCAATCAAAGAGGGGATTTGAGTTGAATTTTGATGTAGAATTTTGCTAAGGTTAAATAAATGATGTTGTATCAGGACGTAGGACCCGGACCCGGATCCACCGCAACTCAAAAGCAATATCAACTACATTTGAATCAGACGAGACATCTTCTATATTCTCGTCTGGTCCTTACTCTGGTCTAAATGCATTTGATCATGATAACATATCCAAAACAACCCACTTTTCAGAAGACCTTCATGAAGGAAGATGAAGATGCAACTGGAATTTGGACAATTACGGCTTGGATTTGGTTAGGGGAAAATGCTTAATTACTTGCTTATCGTATCATGATTCATGCTTAAGCTTTTTGCGTTCTTATCCCCGTAAGAAAGATCTAACCTCCACATCTAAATGTTTTTTTATTTTCTTTTGTTTATTTTTGTATGAAGGAATGGTTGGTTTTATACCTATAATATTATATCTAAGAATTGGTTTTAATTTAAGATGTTTGTTGGTTTAGATTAAAAGAATTGTTTGTTGGTTTTATAAAAAGTTAGTTTAGATTTAAAAAAATTGTTGGTTATAAAAAAGTGATAAACCTTACTAGAAAAAAGTTACAAAAAAGTGGAAAAAAATTATAGTAAAAAACAGTAAATAAAAAAAAAAAAAAAAAAAATAAAAAAAAAAAAACTGAAAGGTTAAATTAAATATATATATATATATATATTATATATATATATATAAAAAAAAAAAAAAAAAAAACTACATACATTTGATTTTGCTTGATATTTAATTGTCTTCAAGGTCTTAAGTCTTAACCAACTACCACCACATCGGCACATCCAAACAAACACCAATTGCCTTTCAATCAGAGCATTTCCCCAGAAGTGAAGCTCAGATCGGCTCGCCATAACCAACTACCACCATACCAATGGCTTCTGCAACCCTCATTCATCCTTCCTCTCTATCTCACAATTCATCTCCATTACCGACTGTTTCTAGAACATATCCCTTTATTGCTTCTCTTTCTAACACCGCACTTTCCTTTTCCTACCCTAAAAACCAAATACTTCGTTCAATAACATTCGTTCCCCAAACGGGTTTAGCTTCTTTTTCTTCTTGGAATGGCCTCAGGCACAATGGGTTTTCAATCTCGCTAAAATCTTTGAGATTTGGTAAGTTTCTTTTATCGAGTAAGTTAATGTTCATATATTGATATACCCTCCCTCCGTTCATAGTCAAACTCATGGATTTTCAACTGGAGAATGATGTAGATTGTAGACTCCAGTTATGAATTTGACACCAACTTCGACCTTTTCATAGTTGATTAGAGCTAGCAGAAAAAACTGTAGAAAACTCCGAAATGCATATCAATTTGTAAGTTGAAAAGCTCTTAGTTTGACTAAAAAGTCAATCCTTTTAGAACAGAGGGATCAATCGATTATGAATGAGTTTGTGTTTTTTACGCTTGATATGCTTGTGGTGATCTGCGTATGCAGAAAAGAGAAAGAAATGTCGAGGGAAAGTTGTGTTTGCATCTTTATTTGGAGTTGGGGCTCCTGAAGCGTTAGTGATCGGAGTAGTCGCATTGTTGGTTTTTGGCCCTAAAGGTCTTGCTGAGGTATTGTATTTTATCACCTTAAAACCCCTAATTTCTTGATATCATTTGCATTTAATCTGATAAATCATAAATGTGTTTGCTTTTGATTGCAGATTGCAAAAAATCTAGGGCAAACTTTACGAACATTTCAACCGACGATTAGGGAACTTCAGGTAATGTCTTCAAACATAATTTTCACAACTTTGAAATAAATTGGTGTCATGAATGGTATGTATATATTTATAGGAAGTTTCTAGGGAATTCAAGAGCACCCTTGAAAAAGAAATTGGCCTTGATGAGCTCAAAAATCCGGCACTACGCAACACCAACAACATACCTACTTTGTCCTCGACCCCTTTATCTGTTTCTACATCTGAAAATTCTCAGGCAACAACCACAGAAACACCTGCTGCTGCCACCACCACCTCCACTACTGAGGATTCTCAGGCGGCAGCAACACCTCTTGGTGCCACCACCGAGGATAGTCAGGCAACACCCGCAACTCCTGTAGGCGTCACTGAGGATTTTCAGGTAATAGCATCACCGCCTGATGTCACCACAGGGGATTCTCAGGCGCTAGCAACAACTCCGGCAGCCACTTGATAGCTAAATCGACAAGCATAATATGAAATGTTTTTCATTAGAACTGAGGATAAATAGCTTTATGAAAAGTGTGTTTTGAAGTTCAAAGTTAAATCGACGACCATAATGTGATAAGATAATTTGGAAATTTTACAGCCCACTAGTTTTTCATTTTTCATTATAATTTGTTGAATTTTTAGGTTCTCAAGCAAAGCCTCGACATAGTTCGCTTGCCATTATTTCAATAATATCATATACAATTTTATTCATTTGATAGGAGCTAAGGTTTGCTTATGTTGTAGTATATAAATAGGGAAAATACCACAAATAGACAAAAAAATGGGGTGAATTTCTAAATTTAGTCATAAAACAAGTTTTTCCGGCTATAGACATACATTCCGCGGAGGACCATCCACGGACCTCTGCGGAATGACTTCATCTCCGCGGAACACTCGAAAGTCTGATTTTTAACGTTAAAAGAGTGATCCGCGTAGGCCCTCTGCGGATACAATAACACCTCCGCGGAGTGAGTTGTTTGGAGGTCATAAGTACCTCCGCGGAGATGGTGACGAGGAGCTCCGCGGAGAGAGTAATGTCTCCGCGGTGACGAGGAGCTCCGCGGAGAGAGTAATGTCTCCGCGGAATGGGTGGTTGGAACGGATTTTAGAGGGTTTTTTGATACAAAGTGTTCTTTTTCATATTTTTAGCTTCATTTGGTCGATAGATCAGTTCTTTTCATTTGATTTTCAAAAAAATATATGAGTTTTGTTATTTTATGTACTGGGGGTTTTTGGCAGATAAGTAATGGGATTAACGCCTACGTTACACCAAAGTTTAACAACTTAGGTTTACTGCTTCCGCCAAATTTTGATCGTCGAATATTATTTTAATTTGGTCAAAAGTAAGGCTAATATGTTCAATAGTAATATATCATTGTCATTTCAACACCCGGTTCATGGGTATGGTATGAATATTTTAGACGAAGTAGATGTTCATCAACTCAGAAATGTAATTTCTGAAACGAAGGAGATTGTGCATTTGTATTTAGAGGTGTTTCAGGGATTGGTCGAACAGACAGAAGCGGTTCAGAAAGTTGTACCATACAATGTTGAAAACGTTGTATCTGATAATGTTGAAGAGGAGTCGAGGTACGTATGAGGAGTCGGTTTACCCCCTTCCAGAACCGTGTGATTGGGAAATTCCTGCTGAGATGATGGTTGTTAAACCCCCGATAATGGATACACGTCAAGCTGGTAGACCGAGAAACAGAAATCGTATCCCGTCACAATGTGAGGAACCTATAGTAAGAAGGTGTAGTAGATGTGATAGTACAACACATAATGCAGCGACTTGTCCGGCATTGGTCCCAAAGAAACAAAAAAAGGCTACAAAAAGTAGTGCGACATCAGGTAGTAACACAAAAGGGAAAGGGAAAGGGACAGAAAGGACTCAGGAGACGCTAGAGACGCACGGGACACAAGAGACGCGTTGGACGAGTGGGACGCAGAGAGAAGACTATTGTTCAACGTTTGATTTGAATGATTGATGTTGTATTTATAAAATTAATTATGTTTTGTTTTATAGGACATTAATTTGTATACTTTGAAATGGTGTGTTTATTTTAAAGATGATGGGTAATATTATGATTATATTAGTGCATAATTACTAGTAGAATAATAACTAATACTCGAAGATAATACATTCAACAAACCAGAAACATATAGTAAACGTACAACAACAGTAATTAACTTAAGGGAATTGCAAAGGATACTTTTCTTTCTCCATTGTTATGTAGTCATCCCTAATTCTTATTTTATCTTCCATACGATCCTTTTGGCTACCAAATTCTATCATTTCTGCATCCTTGTCAGCAAGCCATTTTTCAGACAGTTTGATATTCTTCTTACTTTTTTTTATCCATTCCTCATGATCTTTGATTTTGTTTTTAGTAATCGTCATCCTTTCCTCAACCTCTTTGCACTCCGCCGCAATGAGGTCACGACGTTCAGTGAGAGCTCGAGATGAGTCTTTATCTTTTTTTTGTTGTTCTATGAAAAAAAATGTAAGTATCGTTCTATTATACAATAAAAGTCATGATACAAACTTATTATATAATACAAAACGAAGTTCAAATTTTTATAGTATAAAAAACTAAACAATGATAACTATTAAAATGCATTAGAAACTAACCTTAAACGGAAACATAAAACTGGGAACGGTATACTTGTGTACTTTCTTCGATTCGGGATTGGCCTGCTTGAATTATCTAAACTCTTTTATTTTCTTAAACATTCCACGAATCATACGCGAAGTATATTTCCATAAATATTTATTATAATTAGTTCATTGCATACTACTGCGGGAATGTCCAATCATCTATATTATCAGCAAGCTTGTATACTGCTGCAGGAATGCACGTTTTAACGTCCCGTCCGTGTAGACCCTTCAACATAAAAACAAGCTGGATAAGCATCACATCATCTTCATCTTGTAGTGCCAAATAATTCGGGGACATAATTAAGTCTTCTAAATCTCTCAGCCGCAAACGTGCATCAGAAATATCTGGGAACAACCGAGCACGGAGATTTGAATTTGACTGGCCCTTTTCGTCATGGAGTAAATCCACATAAGGACCAACTTTTAAACCACAAATCAGAATATAATCAGTTTCACCAAAACCCAACTGGATCCCCTCTACATCAAACAAATGCCTCTCCATTTTAAATATTTGTTGACACCTTACTTCGTGCAACATCATCTTATGCCCAAGTAAGGGATCACCATGTGGGATATGCATTCCTAAGAATATTCCAAAGGGGGAAGCTTCGAATAATACTCGTTGTGATTGTGTTAGGCGCGAAAAATAGTCTTTAATGATAGTCCCCACCACGCATTTCAAAGTTAAATCCGTTTTTTGATTAAGATCTTCGTGCTACACAACAAAAAAAAAATTATTATTTCATTTAAAAAATTACTAATTGAAAATAAAAAAAATATTATTCCATTATGAAATAAATAGCAACATACTTAAAAGCAGATAAATAGTAATTGTGCCAACACCATCACTCCGCGGAGGCTAGTGGTCATTCCGCGGAGGCCTCTCTGCGGAGTGACATCTAGCTTACGCGGAGGCTGCAGTGTTGGATTATAGCATTCCGCAGGAAACACATCACTCCGCGGAGAAGCCTCTGCGGACTGACGTCCCCCTCCGCGGAATGGATCATCCGCAAAAACGTATCTGTGATTGTAAACCTAAAAATCCTAAATCTGTATACATATTCAATGTAATCAAATGAGTTTTCCTCTAATTTGAATCATATTCGACATTAACAATTAGATGAGAATGTGAGAAATACCCGGGAACCGTATCCATCGGCCATAACATCGGGGAATTCGGGGTCCATCGGTGACGGAAAGAGCTCTGCGACTTGATTTCGTCGGAGTTGAAGTCGTCGCCGGAGTTGAAGTCGTTGTCGGATTTGAAGTCTTCGATCAAAGCCTAGAGGAGCCGATGCGGAGGGTGGACGAGGAACGGGGACCAGTGGGGACCAAAAGAGGACCCTTTCGTTTTTCTCAAAAAAATATGGTGGGAATTACCAATTTACCCCCTCTTCGCGGAGATTTCATGGTTCCGCGGAGGGTCCTCCGCGGAATGTGTGTCTATATCTGGAAAAAAATGTTTTTTATGACTAAATTTATAAATTTACCCCATTTTTTTTGTCTATTTGAGGTATTTTCCCATATAAATAACATGGAATATATTTGAAAACGGAAGAAAAAATATGATGATGTTTGTGAATATGTGGACAAAATGGGTCCAATCATGCGGCCCAAGTTTGCTTGTCTACGAGTTATGGAATGGAAAAATAATATATATAGATCAAATTATATAAATACTCCTTGTGGTTTTTAAATTTGCAAATTTTATCCATAACTTTCTTTTGTTATATGTAGTGGTGAGCACGGTGTGGTTATTGGCGAAAACTTCACCACTAACCGCAAATGCGGTTAATCCATTTTCATAACCGTTTGGTGCGGTTATTTTTGCGGTGTGATTTTGTTTTGTTTTGTTTTTTTGTTTTTGTGTTTTGGTTATTAACCACATGGATTTGGTGCGATTATTTTGTGTGGTTTTTACCACAGTTTAGAGTTCAAACAGTTTTAAGAGTTAGACATATTACTTGTAATAATAAAAAAATCATAAGGTATAAGACAATTAACTTAAATTACAAACAACTAATATCTTAAAAATATCAAATCACTAGTAAATAACAATAAATATCTTAAAATTGTCAAATTTCACCATTTTCCAAAGTTAAAAATAAGAAAAAAACAACACTTTTGTTTCTAGAATTTTATCATTATTTCATCCATGAAACTTGTTTTATTTTTAATATTTAATATATTAATAATTAATAAAAAAAATTGTATATAATATATGCGGTACGGTGCGGTTTTTATTGCGGTTGCGATTTATGCGGTTAATCTTAGTTGCGGTGCGGTTTTTGCTCACCCCTAGTTATACGTATGATCTATGTGGTTCTAATTTTACGTGTGGTTCATCCTTTATGCATACAAAAATACTTATATATATTTTTTGTTTTTTTATTTTAAATGATTTTTATACAAAACAAGGAAAAAAAACACCAACATACCCAAATCACTTACACTTATACCCGTCCTCACCCCGATCGTTCTTCTCTGTGCTTCCTATATCCTCCACTGCCGCCTTCGACAACCCTCATCCCTACCCATCATTCACTTACAAATACCCCTAACCATTCATTCATTTTGTAGACACATCATCGAAACCAACACCCTTCATCTTATCTAAGCTAAGAATATTGAGAGGGATTTCGTATCCAAAAGGCGACACCTAATCCTTCGATGGAAGAGATTGACTTGAAAGCGGAAATTATTTGCTTTTTTTGTTAAAGGGGATTCGACGCAGTGTCGGTAAAGATCTTTCATTTATTATACCAATTTGTTTAAACCTATTAATCAACACTTGATCATTGCTATTTTTTTTCTTCATATCATTGTCATGTGTGTACACGACATTCTCATTGACATACTTTCTTTATGATTTGAGATGTTATATCTAATATTTTGTCTGCGATAGGCATGTTATTTGGGACAGAACCGACCCAAACCCGAATAAATCGA